GAGGGACACCCTGGGGTACTGGACTATTAATCTGAATTGAAATTAGTCTGTGGAAACAGGGAGTTTCCTTTTTAGAACTATGCAAAATCAAATGCAGAACAAGTAGAATATTAATTTTTGGAGGGTTTTATTTTGTAATGCAACATCAGATCGTCCTGAAACTGGCTGAGTGATACCCTGGGGGTAGTGGACTGTCAATCTGAATTGAAATTGTTCTGTGGAAAGAGGGAGTTTCCTTTTTAGAGCTATCCAAAATCAAAGACAAAATGGTCATATATGAGTTTTTTAGGGCTTTTATTTTGTAATGCAAGATCAGATCGTCCTGAAACTGACTGAGTGACACTCTAGGGTAGTGGACTGTCAATCTGAATTGAAACTGGTCTATGGAAACAGGGAGTTTCATTTTTAGAGCTATTCAAAATCACAGGCAGAACAGGTAGAATATGAGATTTTGGAGGGCCTTTATTATGTAGTGCAACATCAGATCGTCCTGAAACTGGCCGAGGGACACCCTGGGATACTGGACTATTAAGCTGAATTGAAATTAGTCTGTGGAAACAGGGAGTTTCCTTTTCTATTAATCTGAATTGAAATTAGTCTGTGGAAACAGGGAGTTTCCTTTTTAGAGCTATTCAAAATCACAGGCAAAACAGGTAGAATATGAAATTGTGGAGGGCTTTTATCATATAATGCAACATCAGATCATCCTGAAACTGGCTGAGGGACACTCTGGGGTAGAGGACTGTCAATGTGAATGGAAATTATTTCGTGGAAACAAGGAGTTTCCTTTTTAGAGCTATTTAAATTCACAGGCCGAACCGGTAGAATATGAGATTTTGGAGGGCTTTTATCATGTAATGCAACATCAGATCGTCCAGAAACTGGCTGGGGGACACCCTGGGGTACTGGACTATTAATCTGAATTGAAATTAGTCTGTGGAAACAGGGAGTTTCCTTTTTAGAGCTATTCAAAATCACAGGCCGAACAGGTAGAATATGAGATTTTGGAGGGCTTTTATCATGTAATGCAACACCAGATCATCCTGAAACTGACTGAAGGACACCTTGGGGTACTGGACTATTAATCTGAATTGAAATTGTTCTGTGGAACCAGGGAGTTTCCTTTTTAGAGCTATCCAAATCAGACAAAACTGGTCATATATGAGTTTTTGGAGGGCTTTTATTTTGTAATGCAACATCAGATCGTTCTCAAACTGGCCGAGGGACACTCTGGGGTAGTGGACTGTCATTCTGAATTGAAACTGGTCTGTGGAAACAGGGAATTTCATTTTTAGAGCTATTCAAAATCAGAGGCAGAACAGGTAGAATATGAGATTTCGGAGGGCCTTTATTATG